CACACACACACACACACACACACACACACACACACACACACACACACACACACACACACACACACGTATCACACCTCTTACCTCATCCACAAACACAAATCCCAGCCATCTATCCGTTCTCCGTGATAGTTAGCAGGAGATAACTCAAAAGTGCATACAGCGTTACCCACACATGCGGAGCAAACATCCAGCTCAGGSMCTAGTTACCGAAAGCGAATCGACACCAGAGGGACATCCAGGTCATCACTCTCGTCATCCTCACATGCTACCACTATGTCAAAATGYCGMCGCTGTGKTGGAACTTCCAGCTTCGCAATCTCTCTCGCCAGATCAGACACCTTCTTGTCCAATCTCTCTCTGTGCCTGGGGAAAATGTTGTTATACAGCAGACTCTGGCCACAGGAGATACTGTATGCGTTCAGATTCTTCTGACGGAACCAATCCAGCACTTGCCGCAGAGTTACATCACCCTCAATAACCCACCTATCCCAGACGGTCCACTCCAGCTCCCCGTGCTTGAACTTCCGTGCACTAACAGGCTCTGCCATGGCAAAGAGGGGTAGGGCAAGGTTTGCAAAAGTGTTCCGATGCTGGCTCGCAGGCTGGCCCTGAAGCACTTTGTATAGCTCCAGACACACAAAACCGGTTGCCAGGGCCGTTGTTGTTGCAATGGCCGGGATAATACGGCCTGCGATGAGCTTCCCCTTCAGCTTGTCTACTTCAGGGATACTGTAGTTCCGTGCACGCATGTTGGCAAGTCCGACAATGAAGTCCATGTGGAAGTTTGTGTCATCATCTTTCTCAAATTGAATCGGATGCATTTGAAACCCGGGACGAATGCTCTTTGTGCCAGCCTCCAGCTTCTGGATCAGCGAGTTAATGATCGACTCATCATCAGCATGCGATGGAACTGCCGTTGCCCTCTCATCAGTCACAATCTCAACTCCCTGTTTTGCCACAAACAGCTGGATTGGCACTTTATCCACCACCTCCATCACCTTCTTCACATCTGTTGCCCATACAGGCCTTGCTATTCCAAAAGTTTCTGCCCGGAGAATGGCGCCCGCAATGACGAAGGACATGTGACACGAATCCTTGCTCGAGAACTCCAGAGGTGTCGGGAATCTCTTCGGAGCTGACCAGAATGGAGCCCCCGTGCTGGTAATAGCATTCTCTGGAAATGTGAACGTCAGCTGCTTTACACGATTCGCAAAGTAATCTTCGAAGCGATGCCGTGCCCACACAATGCAGTCCTCAAACGTTGTACACCAATCTGTCACAAGGCATTCCACAATCCGCTCCAGAGCGTCCCTGGCCTGAGCATCCCCTGCACTCTTCGCCGTTTCCTTGTACTCGTTGGGTTTCGATAAGAATGCATTCACCTCCGCTGGAGTCTTTTCTAGGAAGCCTTCGAATTCCGAGCGCGCCCAGACAAGGCAGTGRTCTATATTGTGGGGGAAGGAGTGCAAGGTACACATTGGAGCTTGCTTTTCCGGCGGATCCCTTGATGCTCCGTAGTTCTCCGTCTGATGCGGGATCACCATTTGAGTGTTGCACTTTGTCCCCAGAGTTCCAGATTCCAGAAGAGGCTTCTGRAAATAGACACATCGAGAATCCACATACAATCGCGCATTCACATTGTCCAATGCATTCACAACGACATCGAGGCGTTCCCAGAATTCATCATTAAACACAGACTCCGTYTCTCCGCTTACRCGGTTCTGGAGAGGATTGATTCTCAAGCTCGGATTAATTACTTGCGCWGCAGCCGCAGCTACCAAAGATTTYGACTGCCCGATGTTCCAGTCGCGGAACAAGAACTGTCTGCTGAGGTTACTCTTCTCGATTGTATCGTCATCCGTCACAGTGAGCTTCCCATTCTGACCACAGCAGACACCCATCAGTGCSAGATTCTTCAAAAACTCGCACCCCAGAGCTCCTGCCCCGACCATGAAGCAGTTAGCATTCATCATCTTCTCCTGAAGCGTTCGACCAAACAATGCAATCTGCGGATCATACCGCGATCCGACTGGCATGGTCTCCTCAGCTGGAAGCTCATTGGGGGGCAGAGACTCGACAGAGTCGAAGTAAAAGAATTGGAAGATGGGGTGGAACTTCCCCGAGCAAGCCTTGACAGTTTCTTGACCAACAATGCCGCCAAACAAGGCAGCCATGGGAGAAAGGCAAGCCGCAGCACCAAAGGAAAGCTTCCTCAGAACGCCCTCATCGAGGCTCTCCAATCGCTTGTCACCGACCTTTTCATTCACCTCCTTGGCTAAGGCTACGAGCTTTTCAGCATCTTCAGCTGATGCCAGGCCGGGAAGACGGCCAAAGGACGCTTCAAAGAGCCCCAGAGCTTGGAACCCTACATGCAGAAGTCCAGGGCGATCAAACTTTGAAAAATCTGAAAGCAAGAACTCCCCCGGGTCACTGAGCGCCTCATTTAGTGGCTTGAACTTCAGTACTTTCTGCTCCTTGACTTGAGTGACGATCCCACCACCTTCGTAGGCATTGCACTTGGTTGTGTCCTCCTCAAGCTGGAATGAATGTGCCTTGACGTTTTTCACCCGCCGTGGTTTTCCGTCATTCAGTTCTGGAATGCCTCTGACCTCCCGGAAAGTCACAAGCTCGCCATCTTGGAACTCTAGCCGCTCATCATCTACGCAGGTTACAAGTGCTGGATTGCCCGTAGTGATGGATGCAACAATACCAGAGTGTGGTTCTTCTCCATCTGTATCGAACACTGTGAACTCAGGTCCAAAATCACAGAACACACTTGCAAACACTCCACGTACTTCTGCTTTGATGAAGGCGATCGGCGGCTGATGTGTATGGCAGAAGCTGTTGATCTCCAGAGCCTTGTTCATAGGCAAATCGGTAAACACCACCACGTTGAAGTTTGCAAGGAACTCTTTTGTGATATCTCCAGTATGTACCTTAACTGCAACAGCAGTGTTGAGCTCAACCAGCTTGTCTGCGCATGCAGTGGCCCGGTTCTTTCCAATATCAGTTTCAGACAAATAAAACTGTGACGACAGGTCTGCCAATTCCACAACATGAGAGTCATGTAAAGTCACAGACTTGACCCCAGCTAGAATCGTGTTCTTTGCAACCTCCACTCCAAGACCCCCCAGCCCAGAGACGAGCACACTGGCCCCAAACAGGCGGCGCATGGTCTCCCTTCCATACACTGCCAACTGGCGACTGTGCAGATCTTCATCGATCTCAACATCCTCCGAGGAGCGAGGCTTCTTCATTGACGACCCCGTTTTGTCCTCCTCCACCTCAACCCGTCGCCTTTTGGGCAGCATGCGCTGCCTATCCTCTGCCCTGAGGGCTTAGTTATAGGCAAATTGTCCCCTTCCGCTCCCTGCAATCCAACTCCTCCCCTGCTTCCAGAAAATGCAAGCTCCTGTCAACATTCAATCACGCAATGACACACACACAGGGAAAAAACAGAAAAGACAGCCCAGAGCAGGTCAGCCTCCAGGAACTAGAGTTTTGTTAAAAGTTCATTCAGATGAAGATGAAGAAGCATTGGATTTCTAGTAGTTCTGAGCGGAAAGGTGCAAGCAGGGCAAGCTGACAGTCAATCCTCCACGTTGTTGGAGTAATCAATGCTGATCAGGGTTGCTTCGGCCAGACGGAAGGAAGCGTGAAGGTGTTCTATGTTGTAATATTTTCCTGACTTGCAGGTGGAATAGGAACCGGACTGATGCTCCCCAGAATGGAAATGGAGCCAGGGCCATAAGGACCTGTGTTAAACTCCGGACCGTCCGGTGGCCTGGCCTTCGTCTGGCAGGGGTCCCCGGGGGCCCGGTCGGTTGGGTCCCCCGGTTTGGGGCCGGGCGAGCCCAGCGCAATTTCGCGTGGGTGGTGGGGGGAGGCTTTTTTTTGCGCGGGTGGGGGGGGGAGGCCTTTTTTCGGCTACTGGTCGCCTCCGCAGGCTCCAGCAACACCAGGCAGAGTGTTCGATGGCTAAATACATGGCAATCAAATCATAAGATGAGATCATGAAAAGCATACTACAAGTAGAGAGTAGAATTAACACCATAGATTCAAAAGCATT